TTAAAAAAGGCTTTGTATGGTTTAAAGCAGGCACCAAGAATATGGTATGATAGGCTTAGCATATTACTAGAAAAGGAGTTTGTTAAGGGGAGCGTAGACACCACCCTTTTTCTTAGAAAAATTGGAGATGATTTACTCATTGTTCAGGTTTATGTGGATGATATACTATTTGGATCTCCTAATAAAAAACTTTGTGATGAGTTCTCTAAAATAATGAGTAGAGAGTTTGAGATGAGTATGATGAGAGAGTTGTCCTATTTTTTGGGATTTAGCTTAAAACAATTGGATGATGGAACCTTTCTTAATCGAATAAAATACATAAAAGACATTTTGAAGAAGTATGAGATGGATAAATCTAAGCCAATTAATACTCCCATGACTTCTAGTGTTCTATTGGATAAGGACCCAAGTGGTAAGTCTATTGATCAGAAGAAGTACAGAGGCATGATTGAATCTTTACTCTACTTGACTGCGAGCTGGCCCAACATAATGTTTAGTGTTTGCCTTTGTGCTAGATTTCAAGCCGACCCTAAGGAATCCCACCTGATTGCTGTTAAGAGAATTTTTTAATATCTTTTGGGGACCCAAAGCTTAGGGATTTGGTATCCTAAACACAATACTTCTTTTGAGATTATTAGATTTTCTGACTCTAATTTTGCAGGATGCAAGGTGGATAGAAAAAGTACTTCAGGAACTTATCAATTCATAGGACAATCGTTGGTCTCATAGTCTAGTAGGAAGCAAAATTCTGCTGCACTTTCCACTGTTGAAGCTGAGTACATTGCTCTTGGAAGTTGTGTGACCCTAGTCCTTTGGTTAAAACAATATGTATTGGATTTAGAATTACCTGTAGGCACCATCTCAATCTTTTGTGACAACACTAGTGCCATAAGCATCTCTAAGAATCCTATCCAACATTCAAGGACTAAGCACATTGACATTAGGCATCACTTCATTAGAGACCATGTGACTAAGGGAGACATTAAGCTAAAAACATGTGACAACTGAAAATCAACTAGCTGACATCTTTACTAAACCACTGGCCTTCGACACTTCAGCTCTTTAAGAACCAGATTGGGTGTGATTGACATAACTGCAGAAACTTGATCTTCTATTTGCTTTATTTGGTTTTTTAATTATTTTTTCTTTTTGCACTTTGTTTTCTTTTCTTTTTATTTGTTTGATTTGGCTTGCTTTCTTTTTATTGCTTTTTAGCCTTCTAAAATCATCGCTGATATGATATCTTATGCCTTGTCTTTACTTTTGAGAATTTATAGTAAATATTTTTCATCTCTTAATGTGTTAGATGGTCAAAATATTTCGTTGATTGTGTCTCCTTCTCTAACCTATTTTAGTGGGATAGTTTTCTTTTCTAATCAAAAATCTATTTCAAATTAAATATTGTGTATGAAATTTAGATCCTTTCTAAACTCGCTTAAGCAAATCTATCTTGTATTTATAATACTTAAAGTCATTTTGTCACATCAAGATTCCTCATTATTCTTGTCATTGATTAATTGATTCTGTTTTATGTATAGTTCTTCTCTATGTTAGAGAGAGAGAGCCCCTATTCTCTAATATCTAGAATATATACTTACAACTAGGAACTTTTTAAGAGTTGTAAAAGAGAATGGAGCTTGCAAAAATAAAAAAAATTGGTAAATGATGCCAACAAAAGATGCGCAATGACGCCAAATTAAAAAATTATTTATCAAAAAGCAAAAGATGTGCACAAGCACCAATCAATTGACACCACTAAAAAGCAAGCTCCTCTCTCTTTTCAAATTCTTTAAAACTTAGAAGTTTTTATATATCAAAGGCTTGATTTCGATTAATTTGAGATTGTGACAAATTTACTTTGATTCATTATTCTATAAGATTTTTTTTCTTAAACCAAGTAATGAATGGATTCTTGTTCCTCATATCCAACTGATTTTTTGAGTTAGGTCATTGATTTCAAAAGAAGATTCTACACTAAGAGAAAGTCTGAGCTAAGGGTAATTATGATCGGATATTCTACCGCTCTTTGGATTATTGATATTGTTAACTCATTAACTCACAAGTTTTTAAAATCAATCACATGGAATACTACATTAACTTCATGCCTTGGTAAAAAAAATAATAAAAAAAGTGTGTTGTGGTTTGCTTCTGTTCTTGGTTCCCTCCTTTTTGAGATGTCCAAAGGGGGAGAAGTTTTAGGATGTGTCTTGCACTTTCAATTCCGTATGTTACACTTTAGATTTTTGTCTTAGTGTTTTGTCATCATCAAAAAGAGGGAGATTGTTGCAAATTCAGGTCTATGAACTATGTTTTGATGATTGGCAAACACTCTTAATTGACTTGGACTGTCATTTACTACTGACTTTTCAGGAATCAAATATCGGACGGAAAAATGGAGCCAGCTCAAAATGGGGTAGATTAGGGTTGAGTCAGTTTGTGATTTTATTTTTCCCCTCTTGAGTCAATTGTAATCTGTGGTGTTATTGATACAACGTAACCCTACACACACACTTGAGAGACTTAGAATTTCTATTTTTAATCAAATCAGCCAGGACAAAATTTACATCATCCTGGACGATCGGGCTTAAAACAGAAAATCTAATCAGGGGTTCTAAATTAAGGCAGCCATCATTAGCAAATCGGCCTAGACGATACGTGTATCGGCCATGACGAAAGGATCAAAACAGAAAGAAATTGCCGACATAAATAATTAAGGTATTCTGTATTTTTGGCAATCAGCAATGATGATCTTGGACGGGCCTGGACGATATTCATAATTATGCCTTAATTAATCAGACAAATCAAGAAAATAATTAAGGATGATTGATACGATCACATCGTTCTAGACGATCGAAGTATCGGCCCAGATAATTTATTCAAAAACCTTAGTTACTTCTGGACGATAAATATCGGCCAGCTTGAATTCAGGGCGATGCTTTGGATAATTTTCCAATGATTTGAACTGATCGGCCTGGACGATCGTTAGATCGTCCTGGACGGTCAAGCCAATTTTCAATCGTCTAGTTTGCATTCAGGGCGATGCTCTGGCAGATCTCATGGGATTTGTACTAATTGGCCAGGACGATGTCCATATCGTCCTGGACGATATAGTCGGCAACTTGCAATTAATGAGCTCCTTTGAAGCTCTTCTATTTAAGAGATCTTATTCAACATTTTTTAACATCCTTGGTTACTGTCTTGACCTGAGAAAACCTAAAGGAGAGAGAGAGAGGGGGGGGAGAGAGAGAGAGGATCTTGTGAGGGCGAGCTTGTGAGGGGATTCACAAGGGTTTCTCCAAGCATTGTTCCACTTCTTCTTCCCTAGAGTCTATTGTCCTTGGAAGGGTTGGGAGAGGTAAGTTCCAGCAAGCGATCGAGGTTCTCTGCCTGCTTCAAGAGGAAGCAAAAGGAGGAAGGTTCTCTGCCTTGTCGGGTGTGGCAAAAAGAAGTGTTTGTAAAGGCTTCTCCGCCTAGCTGTGGGGGCTAAAGGAAAGTCACGATTGTAGTGCAATACTCGGAGGGCGCCTCCGTGGAGTGGACGTAGGTCGAGTTGACCAAACCACTATAAACCCTTCTGTTCTTGTTTTTACTGCTTCCGCATTTATTTTCTTCCGTATTTATTTTTTGTGGTGATTTGGTTTTAACGCTCATCCCTAACGAACTTTCAGGGCGAAACTCCGGTCTCCCTTGAAAGTTGGGCAAAACTCTGGCGTAACTTGAAAGTTGGGCGGAACTCCGGTGTCCCTTGAAAGTCGGGCGAAACTCCGGCGTCACTTAAAAGTTGGGCGGAACTCTGGCGGTGGTCGAGGAGTTTCTTCCCTCCTCTTCTTCCTCCTTGTTTGGGTCCCCTCTTAGGAGAAATGAGAGGCTATTTATATTTTTCTGAGAGTGGCATGACCCGTAAATAGAAGGACGGTCAAGGGAAAATGTGGAGTGGTTTGGTTGGACGGCCAATATTTAATCATTTGATCGTGGACTATTTATCAGATATTTGAAGGTCTTAGTGATATCGGAATTCAACGATCTTGCTCTCGTTGGATTCGTCTCGTTGAGCCGCTCCATTCAACTATAAGCATGTCATGTTTTGAAACTGTTTGGTAATCCAAATTGTGGTTTGAACCTTCCAACAACGCTTTGGGTCTTCGATTCATACCCATCTGGGCTCAGATTAAGTTCAATTTGGTGTCATTGGGTTCGTATTTCCGAGACGATCAGTTTGACTGTAAATTCGCTTAATCGGAGTTCGGATGATCCAAACTTTAATTTTTTAAGTTTTAAATTTGATTTTTGCCTCGAGATTCGTGTCCGATCAAGATAATTTTTTGATGACATATCATAATTCATAAAATGTAATATACAAAGTAAATTTGAAATTCATCAAAATTTTATTCAGAGTTTCTTTTACTTTAGATAAATACCAAAATTCTTAGAACCATTCAAGTGTACTCATTTTTTATCGAATCAAATAACTTCTTAATTTTTCTCTCTCTTGCTTCCATTTTTTTCTATTGACCGTTGAGCTGCCTTTGTCACCAAAAGTAGTCAGACATGACCTTCTACCTTTCTCTATTATTTTCTTTGTCAACTGCAAGAATTTCGTGTTAAATCCCGATTGCATTCCTATCCAACCACCTTTTGATGTTCAGAAAGATGCATCGCTATCTGGTCCTTATTCAATACCAAACAACCAATGGATCTATTACTTGCCACTTGAAGTTCTTCGTTTGAAAAAATATTCTTCTGAATGGTAAAGAAATGTATTCATTAATGTCCACTTATTTATATTATATATCATCATTCGGTCTTTATTTTGCTCATCTTTTTTAATTTATTCAAAGTGATAACTACTTAAATTTGCGTAGTTTATTAACAAAAAAAGTCATAAACTGATAAACAATAATTAGCAATCATAGAATTTTTAGGTGCGCGATTCGCTCACCTCCAATAAGTCAAGATAATACTTACCCTGCCCTCATCTTAACAAAGAGGGCACTGTTTTTACTTGTATGTATCCCTTCTCTCTCTCTCTCTCTCTCTCTCTCTCTCTCCTGTTATGAAGACGGTGCGATCGAGCCAAGTGGCAATTTTGGTGCTTGTTATGGCAGCCGTGTTGGGGTACTCTGCCACGGCGAAGGGAGGAGCGGCGGAGTATGTATCGGCGGTGGGAGATCCGGGCATGAAGAGAAACGGTCTTCGTGTGGCGTTCGAGGGCTGGAACTTCTGTAATGAAGTTGGGGCTGAGGCGCCCGGAATGGGAAGTCCCAGGGAAGCTGACTGCTTTGACTTGAAAAGCACTACTCTTCCTATACAAGGTTTATCTCTACTGCCTTCTTTTTGCCTTTAATGTTATTGATACTGTTAATTGAGGTGTTCATTTTATTATGAAGAAAAGCTAATAAGAGAAACAACTTAACAAAACTATTGTGCCTTTCATTCAAATTTTCTCTTCTATCATTATGATTTTGAGATTCGGTGAAGATGAGTGGGGGATTTCTCAAATTGAAGGCTTATAGGCTGGAAAGTTGATGGATTTGGATTGATTTTAACGATTTCGGACTAAAATTAATGAAATTAGGGAGAAATTATCAAAATATCGAAACTGTTAAAATCCAATCGGTAAAAATAATTGAAAATTAAATATATACTAAATTTATTAATTGTTTTAAGAAAATAAAAATATTATATAAATATATATAATTCGAAAATTATAAGAAAATAAAATTTTTAATTTATAAAATATTTTAAGAAAATGAAATTATGTTGCAGTTGAATTCAGAAATTAAGTTTTGAAATCGTTGAAACTAATTTTAACATAAGATGTTTCCCTTTTCGATAATTCCTACATGGACTAATTATCTAAGTATTCATTTGTGGGTAGACGGTTCCGAGAAAGTCGATCATGAAGTTGTTCACCTTGTAAACGAGCAAGAAAACAAAATGGGAGCAAATCAGAGCGGCGATAACGTGGACCTCTACGCTGTCAAGAAAGAGTTATATCTCGGTGCCAAATGTGAGGTTAAGGACACACCGAATCCATGGCATTATTGGATGGTGATGCTCAAGAATGGCAACTTCGACACCAAGTCGGGTCTCTGCCCCTCCAATGGAAAGAAGGTCGGGCCCTTCCCACCAGAATCTCGATTCCCCTGTTTTGCTGAGGGAAAATGCATGAACCAGCCGCTTCTATTCCACAACTACACTGCTTTCTCAGACAATGAAGACATGCTTCGAGGAAGTTTGTATGGTACTTATGATCTCGACGCCGATATTAGCAGAGGATTGGATAACATCTCTTACTACTCGGTGGTATGGGAGAAGAAATTTGGTAATGGTGAGGATGAAGGGTGGAAGTTTCATCACTATCTCAGGACTTCGCAGAAGTATCCTTGGCTTATGCTGTACCTCAGGTCAGATGCTACCAAGGGCCTCTCTGGCGGGTATCACTATCCTGGCTGTGGGATGACTAAGATTGTAAGATGCATCTCTATTTTTCCCTTTCATATCTATCGTAAAGAGAAATTAATTAATTTCAGCTATTTAGATTTCTATAACTTGATTGAATAAAAAAATAAGAAACAAAAATTAAGTGGTTGTTGGGAAACTTTTTTATTTTATTTTAAATTCTATTTTCTTTGCATTGACTTGTGGTTGAGGACTAATAGTCTTAGAAAATTATGAATAAGTGAAATTTTATTTTCACCGTTTTCATAATAAGTTCTCACGTTGCAGATTTCTGAATAAAAAAAAAAATAAATAAATAATTATACTATGTTTAACTTTGTTTAAAAAAATCTGCATAAATATCATGAGCTGATTTACGTCAAAATCAGCTTCAAAACTCTTGGTCTCAAATTCAAAAAAATTTAAGTCTTTTTATGGTAAACTGGTCAAGATATTATCACTTAATTTTTATTTTTCATGCTAATAATATAATCAGACCATTTAAATTAAATACACGCCAAGTTCATTATAAAATTTGGTTTGAGTAGATCCCAAAACAATAATAATAACAGTTCTAGAATGAATGCCTAAAAGGCCAAGGATAATTCTTCGGTTTATTTAGAATCAAATGTTTACCTTTTTATATATATATATATTAGCATTTTCGTATTGGTTTGATCTAAGGTTCTAACAAATCGTTTGGTGAAGATTTCTTACGAAGTTTTCTTATTCGTAGTTGCTTCCAATAAAGTTCTAGTCGGTACTAAAAGTACAGTGAAGAAGAAGTGTCGGGAAATTCCTAGGTAATAATCATAAAATTGCTTCCAATAAAATTCTCTCATAAGTAAATGCCCTATATCATTTCTTCAATATATATATTTAAATATTTTTAATTTATGAGATGTAATGAGAAGTAAGGGAAAATACTATACCTAAAGTCACTGTGCTAAAAAACTCTTAATATATTTGTGACGGACCTTCATTAATATAATCAAAATGTATGCAAAATGGTTATCCGACATACACAAATTTTTTTCTTTTTTTTTATCTGTGCAGAATAACAGTCTAATGGCTACCCTTGTTCTTCAGATCCCACAGTCACCTGACTTCAAAGTACGCTTAAGATTAGATATAAAGCAAGGGGGTGGACCAAAGAGCCAATTTTACCTACTTGACATGGGTAGTTGCTGGAAGAACAACGGTGAACCCTGCGATGGCAATGTAGAGACTGATGTAACCCGGTACAGTGAAATGATCCTGAACCCAGACACCGATGCTTGGTGCCACAAAGACAGCCTTAACAATTGCCCACCCTATCACACCTTTCCCAATAGCAGTCGTATCCACCGCAACGACAGTACCAATTTCCCCTATGAAGCCTACCACATGTACTGTGCCCCTGGGAATGCCCAGTATCTTGAACTGCCACACAATCTCTGCGATGCTTATAGCAACCCACAACCACAAGAGATTTTGCAGATCCTCCCACATCCTGTATGGGGTCCTTATGGGTACCCTACAAAGAAAGGGGAGGGGTGGATTGGTGATCCTAAGACGTGGGAACTTGACGTTGGTGGGATGTCACAAGATCTATACTTTTATCAAGATCCAGGCACCGTACCAGTGAAGAGGAGTTGGACGTCACTAGATGTTGGTACAGAGATTTATGTTAGTGAGAATCAGGTGGCTGAGTGGACTCTCAGCCAATTTGATATTCTTGTCCCGAAGGAATTGGTGGCATTAGGATGAATGGATGCTACTTTGGTTGAGGAATTAAACTTCTTATTCTTGAAGGCTCAATTCTATAATTTCTTTTTTGTTCTGTACATTTATATTTATTGTTTTGTCTTAGGCTTCGTTTGGGATTTTTACCGCTTTTAAAGTTACATTTTAGTACAAAAATTAAAAATTTTGTACTAAAAAGCTGCTTTAAGTAGTAAAAAGCCGTCCCATTAGGTCAGTTTTCTTACTGCTTTTTAAAATAATTTTTTAGTATAAAAAATTTAATTTTTTATTAGAAATTTACTTTTAGAATCAGTAAGAAAGCCGTCCAAAACGAAGTATTAATTTGTTGAGCATTTTGTTTTTTTGCAGTCATGTAATTTTAGTTATGAGCTATTTATTTGAATTATAAATAAAAATTATTAACTCAATTTTCTAGAGTATTTCGAATACTTAAGATGAATATTGTTTGGATAAAATATATAAAATAGTTATATGGTAGGAATAATTTGAAACCATATGAAAGGAATTTAGAATTCTCCATGTGCTAGTTATATGGTAGGAATAATTTGAAAATATATGAAAGGAATTTAGTATCCTCGTGCTAGAGTATTCTATATAAGGATTATTGTAGACATATCTAACAAAAACCTAATATTGGATATAGAATTCTCCTGGTACTAGCATAAATACGTCTTATGCCTAGCCATTTTGTTCCCAGCAAATTCAACTGCAAATAGTTTAATATATGCTTGAGCATTTTTCTTACACCACCCTCTACATAAACGTATCTCTCCTCTTCTGTCCTATACAAATATTTTTCTGTTAAAGTGGTATTAGCATAAAGTTCGATGGAAGATGGCAAGTAGCACGAACCTCAAATTATCTTTTATGACAAAGATAATTATGAGAATTGGAGTATCTAAATAAAGGCATTACTAGGATCCCACGGCATTATGGAGGTGGGTTTAAAAACCTTTCTTAAGCCTTAAGATAAATAAACATTATTGTTATCCAAAGGGACCCCTTGAAGGAGCTCCGAAATAAGGATTCGAAGGCACTTTTTTTCATCTGCTAACCTTAAATTATGTTAAATTTGAGAAGGTGATCGGTGCATCTACATTAATGAAAGGTTGGGAGATACGCAAAATGGATAATAAATGCATATAAAAAATATGGAAGGTTTTTCTTCAAACACTTTGGATTGAATTTAGAGTCCTTATAGGAGGCAGAGAATTTGGATGACGATTTCATAAGTCCTAACCATGGCAGCCAACTACAAAAGTATGGAGAAAGTTTAGTAGATATTCTGGAGATAGAAAAAATTCAAAGTCTTGTGAATGATAAATTTGTGCGTATTATAGTAGCTATTGAAGAGCCAATGGATTTTGATTCTATGTTTATTGATGATAATTTGGGTTTATTAATGATATCTGAGCAACAGAAGAATAACAAAAACATAAGACACTATTGAGCAAGCCCTCTATTCAGAGCTTACATTAAGAAATGATATAGAAGTCCATAAAATTGTGGAAAACTCAAGTGCTCATGATGTCTATAGGCATGATTGTGGTCATGGTTTTGGCTACTGAAGAGGTTCAAGGATATGGGTGTTAATGTGAGGAGGGCTTTTAAAAGTTAAAGAATTATTTAACATTTGCTCTAATTTTGACTATTCTATCAGTTATTGAAGGATTACAGGTATTCAATGATATTTCACTAAAAGGATAAAGATGTGCCCCGATAAAGCTTGGAAAGGTTATAACATTTGCTTCTAGGAAGTTAAAGCCACATGAGATAAACTTGAAAGTTTGAATAGGTTGTTAGTTTTAATACAATTGTCCCAAGACTGACCAAGACGGGCTAACGGGGGGGGGGGGGGGGGTGTGAATTGATAATTTAAAAATCATCATGGATTTTAGAAAACCGTTTTAAGATTTCTTAGCACAATAACTAAATTTTCACAAAAATATTTTTCAACCAAAATAAACTTAAATGCAAAAAAATAAAAATGCAATAAAAAAGTAAAGACAGAATAACACCAAATATTATAGTTGTTCGGTTCAACTAGATCTTGGTGAACTCCCTAAAAACTCCTTCAGGTATTGCACAATATCAAAGTTACTCTCATTTTGCTCTCACATCAATGCTAAGAAGCCCTTACAACAACTTCTCTTTTACCAACCCCGGTGCGGCAGAGTACCGACGTCCTTTCTCACCCTCTTAGTGATGACAGAGTACCAACATCCTTTCTCATCCTCCTGGTGATGGCAAGGTACCGACGTTCTTTCTCACACTCTTCATGATGGCAAAGTACCAACATCTTTTTTCACCCTCCTGGCGAAGACAGAGTACTAGATCTACTCCAAATATCTTCTCTCAATTGTCTTCAAAGAAGTAGGACGGAGATTTATAGAACACACAAAGCGATCCTCACCTTTGGGCAACCTTGTGAACCATTCATAATTTTTACTAGTAAGATCTCTCAAAATTCACTCTCGAACACACCCACAAAGCACTCTCTTTCTCACTCTCAAGAGAAAATATGCAACAAGATCTCCAATAGAATATTGGAGTAAGTTTTTGTGGCTCTTATATATGAAGGATAAGAAAAGACGTCCAAAAAACTAAAAATTTCAAGTTATACGTACTTAGGTCATACAGCATGGCCATACTTTGTATGTATAAACAGTTTAAAAAATCCATGTACGATCATGTACGAACTGATTTTGTACTTTGTCAGTCATATATACAAAGTAACAGCGTACTGTATAAACAGTTCAAAATTGAATAAGTTTGTCCAATATGATTTCGTACGAACCCATTTAGTATACTATTAATCATCTGTATGAATCTTATATCGTACAGTATGAACAATTTTAATAAATCATACATCTATGGTACTAATATGGACGAATCCATTTCGTACTCTAGACGTCGTTTATACGAATCCAACTTTATACAGTACGAATAGTTCAAAAAAATTATTTGTTCATTTCGGACAAAACGGTACGCACCCATTTCGTACTCTAGACATCATTTGTATAAATACAATTTTATACAGTATGAACAGTTCAAAAGAAAATTTTTCATGGCATGATTTGATTAACTTTGTTATGGAGGAACTACCTTAACAAATCATCCATTACGATCTAAAATTCATACATTATAACTAGTTTTAAAATTAAATTTTGACTCACTCCCCAGTGTGTGTACACGGTTACCCAAATTACAATTACATGCTCTTAGACTCAAGAAAAGTAAAAAAGTATAGACTTCATTACAACAAAACCCTAATATAATATATATTGAAGTCTTCGACAGTCTGGAGTGTGATTTCCCTAAAATGTTAGTACACACAAACAACACAATGAAAATATATTTAATGTATGTCAGGAGAAATAGTAATCTTAACAATAATATTTTTGTATCATAAATAACTCACATGATATAAAAATATAGTTTTGAAAATAAATTTGCAACAAAATTATCAACACATGATCTATAGTTTGTTGTTTTAATATTTGCATTATAGATTTTGAGGCACTACATGTACAGAGTTAGATGTAAGATTTTCATTGATTATCAAAATTTAAAATATATTTATTTACTCAAATAGATCTAAATCTGAGAAAAATTAATTGGCTTGAGCTAATTAATAAATACAATATGAATATTTAATATTAACCTACTAATGTCAATATAGTGGTGGGTGCTCTGAGCAGTAAGTCTTCTACGATGTCAAGTATTCTTCTTACTTCTAATGATCATTTAATTTAGGATATATAGAAGTTAGAGTTAGAGATGATTATTAATGTTGATCAGGATTCTAGTATTTTGACACAACTAATTATCCAACCATCTCTATAGGAAAGGATTAAGGAAGCCTAGGAGTTAGATCCATAGTATCTGAAATTAATTGATCAAATAAGGTCTAATAATAAACCTGAATTATGATTATCCAATTTTGGAGTCATCTTCTATACATATAGGTTATGGGTTTCTTATTTTGTAGATATGAGATAAGTAATTTTGCATGAGGCACATTATTTAGGATAATTTTGTTCCCATAAATTTTTATCACTTAACTTTCTATATGTTGTAGATCTAGTCATTCTCGACATTTAAGTATTTGTCTAAGAAGTTTATAGTGTAGTTTTAAATGTGTGTTGTTTTATTTAACTAGAAAATACTCTTGATCACAAATAATAATTTTTTTGTAGTATATTTAATACTTCAAAATAATATTCTGAATAATCCTTAGTAATCAAGTGATATTCTAAATTCTACTCCATTATTGAATTTGTTACCTACCAAAAAAGCATTCTATAAAATTCTAAAATTGGTTTATTTACATTTCTTTTATTGCAATGGAATGATATATATATGCATATTTTCTAGAAATGTGTGATTCTAATGAGATCTAATATGTGGTAAAAGTTCAAGTGCTAAATGCACAGAGAGTCATAAAGGCTTGAATTTTTTAGTATCAGATATGTAGTATGCATTGAGAGTTAATGGTTTATTTTTTGAAATGTTAGCATCGGGGGGTCATAAGAGCCTATTTCTAATGGGAGGTATAAGGGCATGATAAAATTTTGTTATTTTCTAATCTGATATATGTAGTACATATTTATTCACTTTTCTCACATTATCATTTAAGTTTTTTATGACTCTAAGCATTCTAGACCAGTTATATGTAGTGCATCTTTTTTCAAAGTATCATACATGATTATTTTCGCATCTAGACCAGTTGAAAGCTGGTTAAGTAAAATATTTGAAAATTTAGATTAGTGGGTATAAATTACTAAGCTATATTGGTTCATATCTATTCTACATTCTACTTTACATCAAGGAAATGAAAAATTACTTGTTGATTAGTTGACTATTCATGATCTAATATGTTCGAGTATATATTGATATTTTTTTTATTTTTATTCAGTCATTGGTAGTTATTTAATTATTTTATTTCAATTTGTAGACAAGTACTGTAGTGTTTAAATATTTTTGTACATTCAATTTGCTAATGAATGAAAGAACAGAAATTTGAGGATAAGTTTATTTTTTATTTATTGAAAGTAATTTGAAGCTCTATTTTTCTTTGTTTCAAATTCTAAATTAATGAAATCTAAAA